ATAGCCACAAATCTAACAGAAATGTTTAGTCTTTTGTCAAGACAAGGCCTAGACAGTTGACAGAACAGCATATCAGGGCCTAAACCACAGAATACGGTCAAGAATTAGGTAACTATGTACCCTTTGTGCTCTGATGATGGTGAAGGTGATGAAGTAGGTGGTCCCAAAATGCACCCCAGACCCATTTCTCAGGGGTGGACCCCAGGCGGTCCAGAGTAAAAGCCACAGGGTGAACACATCTGGGGTTGGATGGATGGTATTATAAAATGTAACCTCTCGGGCACAGGGGTGAGTGTCTTGTAACATCTTCTGCCTTGGCAAATAAACCCTTTCTTATCTCACCCCTAATTTACTGCTCCGGAGACTTTTTCAGCACCATAAATCCCACGGCAACAGTCCCCATCCCGCTGGCAACGCGCTGGGGCTCACCACGGCACACAGGCAGTGCCTCTCAGTGCCCACAGTGCCACCTCAGTTTGTAAGGCACACGTTTCTCACTCAAAACTGCTCAGTGGCAGCTTTTTAAGAAGCATCATTCTCGCATCGTGCCCACCGAAGCCCTCGGGGGCACTGACGCTGAGAGCAGCGCTTGGCAGCCTGCACAAGTGGAAAACACGCCCTCCAAACCAGGGGAAGCACATTGCAGTCAGATTACCTCCTCTGCCGTCCCAAAACCCTCCTGCAGTCCCAGCCCAGCTTCTGATTTCAGGGCTGGTCAGGAGCAGCAGACATCCAAGGGGGAGCTGCTTTCGTGGCACCTTTTCAATCACAGATAACTGGAAACCACACAGAAACCAGAATAACCGGAGTTATTCTATTCCACTCCAAACCTAAGGATGGAAAGTAGCTTTGCACTTATAATAATGCAATTTATAAATTTAAATAAGCCAAGGAAGAATCATATAAGTGGCCAGCAAAGACAGTATCTCTATCAGAGTACTCACTGAGTCCCTGTTTTCAGCTCAGCACGGAATAAGCCACTTCAATTTTGTAGTAATGTAATAGTTTTGTAGAGTACATCAGTAAACACCAAAGTAGACATGATCAGTGAGAGGACAATACTTAATAAGACAATAAAGAGGGGAATTAAAGTGTACTCTTATCTAACTAGCCTGTTCTCAAGAACAGCAGTGGAGTGGAACATCTCCCTGTCAGGAATTCACTGGTGTCACAGGGAGAGGGACACACCACACAGCACCGCAGGGATGCAGCACATCATTACTTCATCATAAAAAAAAAAATAAAAAAAGAAAAGAAAAAAAACCACCCAGACTTCTGTGCTCAAAACAACCCAAAAAGAATAGCATGAAAGAAGAAAATCCCAGTTTAAATTTTCCCATTGAGTGGAGCAGGCAGACAGACCTGCCTGGATCTGCTGAGAGCTAAGAACCATGCTATGATTTTATGACAGCTATTACAGTTCTACAGAATTCATTCTCCAGTAGGTGAAATAGAGAAAAACAATCTACTATAATATAATCAAAAAGTATTTTTCAGTCCCAAATGATATTTGATGTTCAAGCAGAAGGAGAAGAGGAAGCACATGCCATTGAAGAGGTGCCAAGTTCTCCCCAAACAATTCGGCAAACTAGAAGCATAAAAATCTAAACTTCTTTTTCCAAGGCACTCCCTCATAGCATAGAGCATAATTCATGTAAGAGAATTTCCTATATAACACGTATTTCCTACATAAGGAACAACACACAGACCAACTGTTAAACATCACACTATGGCAGCAATTTCATTAAATGACATTTTGGTGAATTCAACCCAACCCAGGTCCTTCAACTTAAGAGCCTGCCATATTTTTGCACTGATCAAAGGGGCCTCCAAGTTTAATCTCTTCAGAAAATCTGGAAAGCTGGCAGAACTTCTACTGCAAAACCATGATTACTTTGAAGTGTGCCCACAGTCGGAACTAAATTGAAATTTCTGATCATTCATCTTATAGTCTGCACAACCACCCTTCAGACAGACTTAGTTTGGAGGGAAGAGGCCAGACACCCTGTGACATGGCAAATGCAAAATCTGAGCTGACTAAACAAGCTGGTTGTAAAAGGGGAAAAAAAACCCAACCCATGAAAATAATGAATATTGCAGCCTGGCTTTGGATGGATATATTTCATTTTCTTTTCTGTTTTGGGAGGGAAAAGAGAAACCATAAATAGTCCATTTTCAGTTTTTTAGACTCCAGAAAACACTGAGCATTTCTCCACCCCCTAACATTCAAATCAGATTCCTTGAAGAAGAGCTCTGCTCCAGCATACTTTAAAGAATAATTCCCTCTTACTGATTAATAAAATTCCCAGCTAGAAAGCAAACCATACAATACAGATGGAGAGAGTGGAGAGAGAGAGTGGATTTTAGACAAAAGGTGGTGGAATGTAGCTATACTGAACTTTTAACACACTGTTCTAGGTACACCAGTGAGAGCACCCACCAACTCCTGTCAGGAGAGAAGCAAGTGTTTCAAACACATCATGGAGAAAGGAGGGGAAGACAAGGAAAAGCTGCAAGGATTAAGCTGTTATTGTGGCTACTCTGTGTATCCCATATGGTTAAAAATGCTGCTGTGGCTCATTTTGGGTAGCAAGGCAATAAACAAGGCTCCTGCACCAGCTTCCCCACCATGCTGCACAGGGAAGGGCCCCTCCAGGAGCTGACCCTGTGCCCAGTCAGTCTCTTCCACTGACACATCACTTTTCCCAGTAAAAAGTCATTTGCCATTTGTTCTTAGAGAAGAGAAAATTATTGGAACAGGGGAAAAAAAAACCAAACCAAAACCACCTTTTGCCACCAGCTACATCTCCCTGAGCAGGCAGTGCCAACAGCCCATGGGAAAGGCCTGTGTCCCATTGCACTGACTGTTGCTGACCTGAATCAAACACAAACCCCACAACATCACCTCCTGTTTTTACACCCAATGAAAAAAACTGCAAAAGCAAAGAGGAGAGGGCAAGTGGAACAGCAATCAGAATCTCTACCCCTCTAGGACAGCTGCTTAATCACCAATTTCTCTTATTATTTTTAAAAAAAACAAACTGTGCTAGCTCACATCACCTATTCAGCCACGTGGCTGCCATTTCCTAACCCTTGCCCACAATCCCCAAGTGAAAAATCCGCATTTTCCATTACAAACAGTAGTCAACAGTTCCTGCTATCCCGTCAGCTCACCAAAGAAATCAGGAGGCAGAGGGCCACAGTTTCCTACTTCATGCCTGTTTGCTGTCATTGCTACCTCATTTAGACAAAAATGAAAGGCCATGGAGGCAGTGTATTAGCAGGACTCTAATGCCACAGCTGCTGACTCTGGAGTTTTTTGTGCTCCACAGTCTGGGGCTGACCCAAGGCTGACCCCTTCTCCTCATTGCTCTCAATAACACAGGTTGCTCAAAGCCTCATCCAGTCTGGCCTTGCACTGATTTTCAAAATGACAGGGCTGGGGGTGTTGCTTGGGGTTTTGTTTTTTCATTTTTTTTTAAAAATCAAAACACCAACGTCTACACCAACTTGGAAAAATAAATAAAATCATCCTTCAAAAGAATCAAAGTCAGCAGATTTCCTAAAATATATTCTGACATAATTTAAAGACAAAAAAAGGGGTTTTTGTCTTCTGTTCAGCACATGAGGTGGGTTTGCAGTACTCTCTGCGTGCTCAGGTGGGAGGATACAGGCACAGCCTCACAAACAAAAACAAAAAAAAAGGCAGATTTCTTGTTTGAGAGTTGAACAGCTGGATAGAATCTGTAGAAGACATTCCCAAAAGCCACTATTTCTTCAGAACTCCACAGACATATTTTTCACATTTGGAAAAAACTCTTTTAAGTCTATGCAACAAACTAACTCTACAAGTGCTAATTATAAATTACTGATTACAGATTTGATACAAGCACGGGATACCTGACAGCTGAGTGTCTTCACTAGAGCAGTTCTCTTCCGACAACAGATCTTAGGCCAGCTAGAATTAAACTCAGGTCAACACTGAAAATGTAACAAGAATTGGAAGACCAAAAATTTCTTTAAAAGCAGAATCCTCCCAATTTCAGCATGGTTTGTATGTCTTATGGCAGATTTCCCCAAGCACACTTTTAAAAAAAAAAAATTTCCAGAAACACTGACACTGCTTTGGTGTCTCCCTTCTAAAGTGTGGCAGCAAGAAAAGGCTTTCAAATAGGAGCAAGTTTACTTGAAGAGGATACATACCATTAAAATAGTTAATATAAATCAGTAACTAAGGCAAAGCTCTTCTGCTCTCCCAGCTGCCAAACTGACAAAGCTGCATGTGGCTCAGGAAGCAAGAACAGCTTGGCAGGAGACAGTTGGTGTTCCCCCCAAAAGCAAACAACAGTGGAAGACTCTCCTTAGGGTGTGCGCTTATATTTGAAGTTAAAAACACAAAACACATGTTACACTTAAAAGACCTTAAAAAACAAGCTGTGCAACTAATTCCGCTCCTCGTAAGCAGGTAAAATCCCAACAGGAATCTTTACTCAGATATTGCCTCAAAGTGTCCCAGCTCTGCACAGAGGCACATCCTTGTGAGCTTTCCACCATCATAGAACAGAATCATAGAATCGATTGGGTTGGAACAGACCTCCGAGATCATCGAGTCCAACCCTTGGTCCAAATCCAGTCCATTTACTGGATCATGGCACTCAGTGCCACGTCCAATCTGCCTTTAAAAATCTCCAGGGATGGTGAATCCCCCACCTCTCTGGGCAGCCCATTCCAGTGCCTGATTACTCTCTCTGTAAAGAATTTTCTCCTGATATCCAACTTAAATTTCCCCTGGTGGAGCTGAAGCCCATGTCCCCTTGTCCTATTGCTGAGTGCCTGAGAGAAGAGACCAACCCCCACCTGGCCGGAACTTCCCTTCAGGTAGTTACAGACAGTGATGAGGTCACCTCTGAGCCTCCTCTTCTCCAGGCTGAACAACCCCAGCTCCCTCAGCCTCTCAGAGGCTCACAGTGCACTCGAAATCAGGTTTAAATCTCTCCTACCTCAATGTCGAGTACTTCCACCGTGTTGTCCAACATCCTGATTCTGACGGGGAGGTCGCGCTCGTGCGCTCTGGCGGGCGCCGATGCCATGGCAGCGGAGAGGTTCTGTCCTGACTCCAGGGTACTCACTCCCGCGGTCTTCTGGGCACCCAAACGAGAGCCCGGCGTCTGCAGAACTCTGTATGTTCCTTCTATCTCTCCCATCTTCCAACAGTGAGCAGAGTCTAAAGAAGCATGGAAGGAAACAGACAGCTACAGCCTGAAAGATCTCCCCCAAGACATCGCGTGTGAAAACACTACCCACTGAAACACTGTCACAAAATCCTTAGTTAAGGCTCTGTAACCTTGTTTTGCTAGCAGGACACCAAAAGGGGTCAGAAACAGAAGTATTCAAGGTCAGGTTGGACAGGGCTTGGAGCAACCTGGTCTAGGGGAAGGTGTCCTTGCCCATAGCAGGGAGTGGAATGAGATGAGCTTTAGGGTCCCTTCCGACCCAAACCATTCTATTACGATTAAAATCCAGACACTGGGAAGAAAAAGTAGCAAGAAGAAATAACCATTCAGAAACATGGTTAGGAAATAGGATACTCAAACCTCTGCCCTCCACCCTTCTGACACACTGTTTTAGTTTCTGATGAGTTTTCCTGCTGATTGGGCTCCCTACCACCAGCAGCACGAGCACTGCAGACAGGCAGCGAAGGGTAAGGCAGAACTGTGCCTCTCACCTGTACCCAACCATCCCAATGACCACACCCCAAGGTAACAGGAACAATTAACTTTCTTCATCCCCTAAATGGTGACTCATACAAAACCTTAACTGCTGGCAGCTCAGAGCCTTCATCAGGCACTGGCTGCAGATAACAGTTCCTCATCTCATTAGCAAACCTGCCCAGATTAAATCAGTGGGCAAAAATCTCAATTACATAGACCAACATTAGTTCAACTAGGTCGACTCCCACAGCAGGAGTCTTGCTGTCATGGTTTGGTGGCAGTTGTGCAGAGCAAATGTTTAATTTGACATGGGGAGCAGGTCCCACATGGCTCTCCCCAGCTCTCCCACGCCACTGGAGCAGCGGTGATATTTGCACAGGGATTGCAGCAGGGAAGGTGAGGCATGTGGGCTCAGGATGCACCACAGCCCCTGCCCCATGCTCACCACTGGCACAGAGTATTTGGCAGCAAGGTGCAAGGTGCTCAGCAGGAAGGCTGAAGCTTCTCAGTGTTTTTGGGTGCATTACCCAAATAGCACACTGTGTCTGAACAATCCAAATTATGTGGGTACTGCAGCTGGGACAGCCTTCACTTGGGGAGCCCACCCCAGAAAATCCAAGGGAGTGTTAGGTTATTGCTGTGTCTGAAAAGGAGAGAGGCAGCTCATGAAAACAGCCCTCTGTCCCTCTGTGCTGCAAGTAGGTAGGCAGCCTGCTCCAGGGGTTTGAATGGAGCCAGCCTTACATGTCCTTACAAACTAGTGGGGAGTGATTTAGGTTTCAATCTTTACACACAGAGAGTCTGGTCAAATGTCTTTCCAGCTTACAGACCAGTGCATTTTAACATTATGGGGGATTTTATTTTTATATTTGCAGACCCTCTACAGATGAACTTATCCCAGGAGGGTAGACAGACACCTCCCACCTAATCACACCCACCACAAGGCTTGTTTGGCCTCTGCAAGCACTGCCTGAGCAGCACAGCTGAGACCACCACAGAGAGTCTCCAACCTCCCAGCTGACAGTACACGTGTGAGAATCACAGAAGGGCTGGAAAAAAACCACCAAGTCCAACCATTAACCCAGCACTGCCAACACCATCACTAAACCACGTCCCCAGATGCCCCATCCACACGTCTTCTGGACACTTCCAGAGATGGGGTCTCCACAACTGCCCTGGGCAGCCCATGCCAGTACCTCACCACCCTTTCAATGAAGAAATTTTCCCTAATGTCCAACCTAAACCTCCCCTGGCACAACCTGAGGCCTTTGTCCTGTCCCTTGTTGCCTGGGAGCAGAGCCTGACCCCCACCTGGCTCCACTCTCCAGTTAGAGAGTTGCAGAGTGAGAAGGTCCCCTGAGTCTCCTTTTCTCCAGGCTGAGGCCCTGCAGCTCCCTCAGCTGCTCCTCATCAGAGCTGGGCTCCAGACCCTTCCCCAGCTCTGCTGCCTTTCTCTGAACGTGCTTCAGGGATCCAACATAAGGATGATCTCAACATAAAAGTGGGCACACACTGCCCAGTGTCCAACTTACCAGCTTTGGGTGACAAATAAGCAGAAGGTTTCTTTCTCAAAGCGTTTTGTGCGTATTCTTTTGCTGAACTCCTTGGTTTGTGTGGCCACACAGCCAAGGAGAAAAACTTTTAGGTCAGAAATTTTAATATCACCCTAACAGCAAAAGTCAGCAGAGAGAGGTGCCCAGGTTACATCTCTAAGTGCTGATCTGAAGAGAAACCAGACCTCAGTGTCATCTGTAGCCCCTTGACACTGTGTCCCTTATCAGGTAACCACACTGTAAGATTTTTGCTGGGCAACTGGAGCTGCCCAGGATCGGTCACACTCCTCACGAGGCTGTTTATTAGCCACCTGCTCTTAAAGTTAGTGCTTTGTGAGCACATTCATCCCCTTCTGAATAAACAGCTCCTGGAAGGGACAGACACTGCAGTTACCCAAAAGGAAAAAAATGCACGCAACGACAGCCGAGGCGGAACACGGAGCAGCCCCGTGGCAGAGGCCTCAGCAGCCTCCCCTCCAGCTGGAGCCAGCTGAAGGCAAGGCAGGCAGGCAGGCCACCCAAATCTGGACTAATGAGGAGCTCCTGGGTATTCTCACTGCCTTTGGTCACCCGCCAGGAGAGACCAAAGTCACTTCAAACAGAAACTGCAGATGCCAAAGTCCTTCCCCACAGGTGGTAACAGAAAAAGTGAACTCAAAAGGGCTTGGCCTTGTGTCTTGCTGATGACATGTTCCTAAAAATATTTACCCCGGCCAGTACATATTCAGATTTGAAAGGCCTGACAAGCACTAGGCAGAAAGCACAATGTGCAGAAGCAAGCCTGATCCCCAGGAGAGCCGTGCCCTGCCTGCTGTGCCAGCTGGGAGCATGTCCACATCCCATTCCCTGCCAGAGCACCCTACTAATGCCATCCTAACAATCCCCAAACAGCCTCATCTGCTCCCACTGCCTCCAAAACCCAACGTGTGAGGAATGTTAACCAAACCAAGCCAACGTGTGAGGAATGTTAACCAAGCCAAGCACAGTTTCACCACCAATTAGTTACCTATCATGTTTTATGTACTCTGACAACATATGACACTTCCCGACAAGACCCGTTGTGCCATGGTTTGAGAAACACTTCAGTTCAAGGGGCTGACTACATGAAAGGAGGAGGAAAATGGACCAGTGAAGCCTGAGACATGCTGCAAGCACCAGGAAGATCAAGAGGTTCTGCAGGCAGAGCAGACTGTCCCACAGCACTGAGAGCCTCCTGCCCCAGGCGAGCCACAGCACAGCCTCACCAATGAGAAACTAAAATGCAACGTTACCACAGTATTAGTGGTTCTAAGATAAAAATCTTCCTTCATTGCCCCTCCCTGAAGTTGTCTGCACCTAGTGCTTGTCCTGATAATTTCCTATAAATTAGGACCAGGCATCAAACCTATATCAGCTCCCTATTGCTTTCAGCCCTAAGTGAAGGAGCATATAAAACAAAATTTACAAAATTTAGGCAGCTGTATATAATTATTTTAATTTTTTGTACTTTGGTTTTTTGTCATCTTTTTTGAATAGCTTTTAAGTCACAATGAGTTTCATCTTCTGCTTGGATGGAACAAACCTATTTTTCAGAAGCAAGACGGTGTTTTCATCTAGCAGCAAATCTGGAAAGGCAGCTTACACCTGAGGACATGCAAGATCACAGAAACACAGAGTGGCTGGGGTTAGAAGGGACCTTAAAGCCCACCTTGTTCCAGACCCCTGCCATGAGCAGGGACACCCACTAAATCAGGTTGCTCCAACCCCATCCAACATGGCCTTGAACACTTCCAGGGATGATACCAAGGGCTTTCACAGGGAATCCTCTGAGCACAGTGTCTTTTGGGCAGTGACAGGGTCACTGTGATGGTCCATCCCTCGCCCGTGCAGAAGGCAGGTCTGAAGTAAGGCCACTTTCCCTGCTGCCCAGTGTGAGCAGGGTGATCCCCGCCTCCCATACAGAGGGATCCCCACTGCCCGTGCACGGCAGGAGCAGCAAGGAAGCGCTCTCAGATCACGTCCCTTCAGCCACCAGAATCAAACCTTCCTCTTTTAACTTCCTCGCTAAAGCAACAGGCCACCCCTCAAGCATCACTACAGCACTAACTGATGCACCCAGGAACCCACCCACCGCAACGAAGAGCTTGCACAAAGGCTCCGAGCGGGCCCGCTGTGACAGCAGAGACACCCGGACCCCACACTCCCCTGCGACCACCGTCCCCCTCCACACGGCCGGGAAGGGGTCTCCACACGCCGGCCTGGAAGGAGCTGGACGCGCCCGTCGCTGCCCAGAGGGGAGCGGGGCTTCGGGAGCGCGGCTTCGGGAGCGCTTCTCCGACCGAGCAGCGGCCGTGAGAGCGGGAGGAGCAGCGGGACGAGCCCGGGGGTCGCTCGCAGGGGAAGGGGCGCTCACACACTCCCGCCCCGACCGCGCCGTGGCGGGGCCGCCTAGGCCAGGTCTCCCCGGCAGCCGGAACCCCCCCCCGCCCCCGTCCCCGGGGGCTGGCGGAGCCCTCCCCGCCGGGCTCCCACGCAAGCGGCAGCGGCGGAAGCGGCGGAGGCGCAGGCGGGGCGGGCCGAGCCGCCGGCCTGAGGCGCCGCTCGCCGGCAGCGCCGCTACAGCT